CACACACACACACAGATGCTTTTTTCCACCTCAGCCTATAAAAAAAAACAGGAATAAAGTAGAGAGAATAGAGACTTTTTCTTCATATCAAAAACCTCCCGCTAGGACAACAGGTAGGCGGACACAGAGGAAAGGGCCAATCCTGGTCTGCTGGTCTTTATCGGGCCAGAGCGAGCCGCCCTCAGCAGGTTGTACATAATCCTGACAGTCAAACAGCCAAGAGGAGAAATCTGGTTCCTATCTGAGCCTCCTGCATGTGGAGATGACAGGGAGCACGTTTGGCATGAGATTAAGAGAGAGGTCCATTATTCTCAGATGGAAATGTGTCCGTACTTCATAGGGAGGGAGGTTCAGAGCTCTTACCCACAGATGACCTGCTCTTTCATTTCTCTTTTCTGTTTTTAGAGAAAAAAAACATTCCTATGCATTCCTGTTACACAGCACGATAACTGCCTCCTGAATTAAAGGATACATCTGACAATGTTCTTTATTTTTCTTATTGTCAACAAAATCCCAATAAATAAAAAAAAAACAAGCAAAACCAACAGTGAACTGATCCTAACAAGTATTATCTGTGTATCAGAGCCTGATATATCTTCCTGTTCTGTGCCATAGAGCTCCATTGTTTACAAAAACGACTTAAAAACACATCAATGAGCCACACTGTTGCTCTGGTTGAGGTGTTCCTTCATTACCGCGAACACACACTGTAGTTTATTTTACCTCAAACCTACATACACCGTCCTGCTGCCCCAAATACTCACTAGAGCACCAAATGTGGATTCATTCCCTGAAAATAGTCCCCAACAAATCCTCCTGTTGCAGAAATGTTTAAAAACTAGTGAGCAGCTGTTATAGGAAACTAGCGTCTATTATTTTGACCAAAAATAAAATTGTTTTGCAACCTGAAAAGTTTGTTCCCAGTTGGAAGCAATAAATATCAGGTTTTCCTTGGAAACCAAAGTGTGCGTGTCATATTCCACAGGTCACTGATGATGCATCTGGTTAAACAAACCTAGTCTCAAAATGACCACAAACCATAAAACTAGTGCTCATACAGGAGTTCAGTGTGGCGTTAAACTAAAATAAAGGAAGGAATAGTCAAATCTTCGTATTGAACATCCAAATTAGATTCGACTGATAGTCGGGTACAGCCCTATGATTCAGTCTTTCCACGGCAATAAGGAAAATATAAAGAAACACTAACCAAATGGACCATTAGACCACTGACCTTCAGGAGAAAAGCTGCAAAGCCTCAAAACTGACATCAAATATTTACTCTGATTCTTGTTCAATCATATTTTGATGAGATAGATCAAATTCTTTATCCAACTTTATAATTTTGTAGTCTGCAAGTGGCTGGTAGTTTTGGCACATTTTGCTCCATTTTTGTTTCAATCTGTATATTTTTAATCGCTGAAAACGCCGTTGAATGAGGTCTGATTGGAGCTGATTGAAGCCAAAGTTGTTCAGGAGAACTGAATTGTGAAGCAGAATTATTTCCAGTGTGTCTACGTGTATATAAATAACTATCTATTGTTTTATTTATACTCTATTTATTCTATAATTATATCTAATTATTAAGACTTAGACTTCAAACTTTAAATTTGTTACGCAACCTTTCCTTGATTCCTTAAAGTTACTTGTTTTTTCCTCAGCGGGTGACTCTTTAGAATGTAAAGTTACTGTTTTTAAAAGGCAACAACAAACTTTGAAGCTCAATAATTGCAGTGGTTTTTAGACTTTTAGACTCAACTTGAAGCAGCAACAAGGACGTTAAATTTTGTGTTGATTCTGGCGGCCCCCTGTGGACAAAACCAGTAGTGTTTCTACCGCCTTGTTTCATTGATTTCAAGGGGAATCCAACCTGGTGGCTGAGGTTTTGTTTCAGTGTACTGACATCATATAGACACTGGTACCACTTTCAAACAATATCCAGTCATAGTAAAGCTTTTAGATTTGTGAGCACAAAGCACCTCGCACTCAAAGTTGACTCATTTTCCTCCCAAACCATTAAAAAATAAATAAATACCCCCCCAAAAAAACCTGGTGTTTGTTTTCCTCTGGTCTTTCCCTTTATTACTTCCTGCCATTTAGTCTGGACGCTGGACAATAAGGCAAACAGATGCACGGCTCGCCAAACGTCACACTTCGCTCACCATGACTGTTAACACACACCCTGCCTGTCTGACTCCACCACACACACGCAGATAGGTAAGGAAAGTACACACACACACAATTCCTCCCACTGTGGCTTTTAATCCTGGTCCAGGCTGTAAACATGGTTGTGATAAAGACACGCACACACTCCTTTGGTCTAATGTAAACTCTGATGAACATAACAGGAGGGAGAGGTGAGGGAGATCACACAGTGGGCCAACTTGATCAGTATAACACACTGTCAACACTCTCACAGAAATATAACACACTGTTATCGCTCCATTATGGGAAGAACGAGAAGAAGCTCGTAAAACTATCTTTGCTTTTTCTCAATCTGGACTGCATGAAAGTTCCTGAACGCACCACCGCGAGCCGCATGCACTGCTGACCTGAAACCACCAGCCGTTGATAATTGCAGTGCACTTCCTGGTACAGCTGGTGACATCACTCCGTACCAGATGGCAGAGGTCTGCTCGGAGATTATAAATTACAGGGAAGCAAATGATGGGAGACGAGGATGAAGTCCAAGCAGAGGGAAGGTTATAAAACGGATAAACGAACGGAGAGATGAGGACGCTTATTGAACAGTGGTGAAATAACAAGCTAATAAAAGCTGAATTAGGACCGTCACGGTTTGTTCAATGATTAATAAGACTGATATGGTCCTTTAAAGACCACATAAAGACCATATAAGAAGATTAGAACATACATTTTGCATGCCAGACAGTTTTCTTCTATTTTAGGTGGTTTAGGTCTATTATTATTCCTGATTTAGGCCACAACTGGTTGCCAACCCAGGG